CACACACACACACACACACACACACACACACACACACACACACACACACACAGGTGCGTCAGCGCGCCCTCAACGCGCGCCAGTTTGGCCTCAAGCTGATCGCCAACGTCACATACGGCTACACCAGCGCCTCTTTCTCTGGCCGAATGCCCATGGCAGAGCTGGCGGACTCGATTGTGCAGGTCGGCATTCAAGCCTGCTGCAATTTTTTTCATGCCTCTAGGGTCCTCTCGGTGTTGTGGTCGGGGATCATGATGGGCTGCCCTTCATCGGCCAAGTGAATTGTTGGCTGCCGCTGCTAAGGTATCAGCGGGACTTGAACCTCTCCCGGCCCCTGCCGCAAGGCTCACTGTGGACGGCACTTCAATGTAGTGGCTTCACGCGCCCCCTCGCGCAGACTGGGAGGCAGACCCTTGAGAACGCGATCCGCCTGGTGGAGTCGCACCCGGACTGGCGGGCGCGCGTGGTCTATGGGGACACGGGTGCGTGCGTGCCGTCCATGCGCACACGTGTGCCTGGGCTGGACTGCTTTCCGGACTGCGCTGCAGGCTGATGACTGCCACTCAGCTGAGCTCTGAGCAGCGTCCAGCACGGCAATAGCGATGCTGACTGTGTCTGCTCGGCCGGAGTGTGTTCCTGTGGGACGCCGAGTCGTCTGCACCTCTCCTTCAAGTCAAATGCGCCTTATGACCCCGTCCGACCTGCATCACAGACAGCCTGTTCGTCCTGCTGCCGGGGCGCACCAGGGAGCAGGCCTTCAAGATTGGGTGCGCCACAGGCAGAGGGGCAGCTGCAGAGCAGCTTCCCGCAACCGCTTGACATCCAGGCACTGTCGCGTACGGCTGCTGGGATGGGGGTTTGGGAGCGCCCGCCTTGGAAGCCGCGCCAGGCGCAGCAACCTGTGGTTCGCGGGCCGGCAGGTCGCTATCCATGGCTGTCTGGCCCGTCTGCCTGCCTCTCTTCGCTTCTGCCCGCCCCTGCCCTCACCCCTCCCTACCGCAATCATGCCCCAGCACCAGTCCCTTGCACCAACGATAGACACTCGCCTCAATAGTTCACGGACCCATTCTCATCGCTTATCTCCCAGGAACGAGATAGCAGAGGCCGTCACCGCGGCCAACCCGCGGCCCGTCACTCTGAGGCTGGACAAGATCTACCACCCCTGCGTGCTGCAGGTCAGAGGCCATGCACTGGCGCGCACCCGCTTTCTCTCGTGCTGCTTTGTGTCGGGGTCCATGTTGTTGATGTCAAGCCGGGCAGAGCAGCTGAAGTGTCATCCCTTGTTATGCGTTGCTGCGGCGCTTGCTGCGGCTGGCGGTCTGTCTCTTTCGCGGCTTGGCTGCCAGCTGGTAACCTGGCATGCAACGCGTCCCATCCTCGGCACACAGCTCCACGGCTTTAAGCCCTTCAGTTAGTCAGCAACGCTCTACCACCGACCCCCAACCGCACGCCCTTCAACTTCCAACCGCCAGACCAAGAAGCGGTACGTGGGCTTCCTGTACGAGTCCCCGGCCCAGGCCGCGCCCGTGTTTGACGCGAAGGGCATAGAGACCGTCAGGTGTGCTTCAGAGGGAGGAGTTCTGTCCGCGCAGTGCACACGCATGCGTACTGGAGCGGGCACGGATTTCTGCATCGTGGTGACCGCCCCTCTCCCGCTCCCGATCAAACACACACGTACACAAGAATTACCAGCCGCGGCAGCTGACCTGCTGTCACTCCCCTTCGCCCACCCTTCCGCCCCGATCCCCGCCACTCAACCCAAACACCACCCCCAAACAACAGGCGTGATGGCTGCCCCGCGGTCTCCAAGATGCTGGAGTCTGTGCTGCGGGTGCTCTTTTCTACGGCAGACCTCTCGCTGGTCCGCTCCTACTGCGCGCGCCAGTGGGCCAAGATCCTCGCCAACAGGGTCTCGCTGCAGGTGTGTTTGTGTGTGTGTGG